CCTGGGAGCTCAACAAACCCTGTTGGACCTGGGAGCTCAACAAACCCTGTTGGATCTGGGAGCTCAACAAACCCTGTTGGACCTGGGAGCTCAACAAACCCTGTTGGACATGGGAGCTCACCAGGGTTTGTTCTGGGAGCTCAAACCATTACCTTGCCCTGAAAAGGTGACTGCTAGCTGGTCTTGGACTTCATGTTTCTACGTACAACAGTCAAACTGAGATGTCAAAATTATGGCACTGCTAGTTGGACTTGGGCATGAGGTTCCTACCCAAGTCATTGGTATGTACCGGGGAGACTCACGTAACGTGCCCAGCAGTAACTTTCCGAGTGAACCTAGGGCACGTTCAGTGGTCCCGGTCTCTGTTCGTTATGCCACGTGGCAGGTGTGCTCCGGATGTTCAGGGAGGGGTCAGACTGGGGTCAGTGCCCGGTGGGTCGAGGTTCCGCCGTTTGCGGCGCGAGTGAATTCGTTGCGGGTTTCGATGTAAACGAGGTTTTACCCCGTCCTTAATTTGGTTCGCGAGTGTGTTCCGAGTCGAATTTTATTCTGGCGGGGGGTCTCATCGGACGGTGGAGAATATTCCGGAGGCTTCCCCCGGGCCGTCTGATAACTCCGATTTCACCAGTCCCTAATAGAAGTGGAAATTCGGAAAGGTTAAATAATTCTAGAATGGTCCTCAGAAGCCCCAAAGCGGCCAAAATCGGCCTTAAAAGTTAAAACCCCCTTCTTACCGGGAACATAGGGCATTCGGATTGTTTTCGGAATGTGCATAAATAATTCCGCTTTCCTGGTCGGATTGTTGGAAAATAATTCGAAATAAAATCGGTCGAAATTATCACGTTGGACTACGGGTACACTTTAGACAGTTCCGGTCGGTATCACGAGGACCTGGCGAGAAACTTAGAAAGGCCGCAGGCGTTGTTTGTAGAGGCCTATCCGGGACCCGGAGGTTGCCAGAGTTGCCCGCGACGTTGCGCGACTTTCTGCGATTCTTCGCGACTTTACGCGACTGCTCCGCGACTTTGTTTCGCGATCTTCGCGACTTTCACCAAAACCTTACTAAGCTTTAGGAAACATGTTTTCAAGCAAGTTTTGTGTTTAGATGCTTGCAATGCTCCGCGACGTTACGCGACTTTCCGCGATCTTACGCGACTTTTGTCCGCGACTTTCACCGCGACTCTGCGACCTCCGAGTCCAGGATAGGCCTTTGTAGTTCGTGAAGCATCGTGGGAGTGCTAGGAGCTTCGTTTAGTCGTATAGGGAGCTCTAGAGCTTCGGCGGCAGACAGGAAGCGGAGCTTGAGGGGAGGTAATTGGGCTGTCAACTTGTGTGCGCAGGGGATCCTACCACCGGGTATGGCTATCTTGAATGATTTTGCTGCTTGGTTGGTTCTTCTGCGACTGGGATTTCTTCGGAACCAAGCAATTTTCCACTCCACCTGTTTGGCAGCAAAAATTGATGTCCCCCCTTGAAAGCCTTGTTTGAGTCGCAGCATTGCTTGTTAACACGCCCCGTCAAGGCCATTCACTTTTGCGGGCCAATCTAAACATCAATGTTCCATAGGAAAGTAGATGTTTGAAGGAACATGCCTAGTGATGCGCAAATAATGCAGTACAATCCGCAGATGCAGCTTCATGTTTGCAGGAGCCCTGAAGCAGATTGCAACATTGTCAGCAAGAGCAAGCTAATTCCCTGACTGATCATATTTACCAATGGGTATGGATGCCTTTCTGAGGTGATGGGGTTTACCTTGCAGGTACCCTTCCCATTCCGTGGGGGTGACAATGGCTGTTGCTGTGCCTCTCCTGTGCGCTAGGATGCTGGTTCTGACTATCCTGTGCGGATGCGTTATGGGCGGGGTTCACGCGGCAACCATAGAGCAGTTTGGCAACCTGGTCGAGGGGCCCCTCTGGAACCAGACTCTCATCAACCTGTCCGGCAAGAACCTCTGTGGCCCTATTCCTCCCGAACTTGGAAACCTCGTTAACCTGGTTCATCTTAACCTGTCCAGCAATGCCTTCAATGGTTCCATTCCCCCCCATCTTAGCAACCTGACCAACCTCGCATACCTTGACCTCACTTACAACAATCTTGCTGGGCCGGTCCCCACCGAGCTTCGTACTTTGACTAACCTTACCTACCTTTCCCTCTCCTTCAACCGCCTCCGCTCACGCCCCATCCCCTTGGAGCTTGGTAGCCTCACCAATCTCACCGGGCTTTATCTTGGAAGCAACAACTTCTTTGGCCCCATACCCTCCCAGCTAGGCAACCTGACCAAAGTCCAATACCTTGACCTTGCCAGCAACCGGCTCTCCGGCCCCATTACACAAGAGCTCTGTAAACTCACCAACCTCACCTACCTCTCCCTCTTCAACAACAGACTTTCTGGTGGCATCCCTCCCGATCTGAGGAGCTTATCTCAACTTACCAATCTCCACCTCGATTCCAACCAGCTCTCTGGCCCTATCCCCGCCAACCTCGGCAGTCTGACCAACCTCTCCGACCTCTACCTCCACAGCAACAGACTTTCTGGCCCCGTACCGCCCGAGCTTGGCAACCTGTCAAATCTTACTAACCTCCTCCTCTGCGGCAACAACCTCTCCGGCCCAATTCCCCCCTCGCTCGGCAACCTGTCAAAACTAGTCACCCTCTACCTCTTCAGTAATAATCTCACGGACACGGTTTGCAGAGAGGTAAACCTGTCGCTGGTTGAGAATCTGACAAGATTAGGCCTTCCTTGTTCGCCGCCCCCCTCGCTGAAACACACCAACCTTACCTACCTGGCTCAACCTGTTGGCAGCCAGTCCACCAAGAGTCTGGATCTCTCGTTGGTGCCCAGCTCGTGCAAACTCGTCAATTTGACGGGTTCCCATCCCCACCTGGAAAGCATCAACTTCTGGGGAGCTTGCTCTACAGGCTGTGTAGTGAGCCTAGCGGGAACGGAGGCTAGTCTGTCCCGCAGCACGAAAAGGAAGGTCTGCTTGAGTAGGATTTCAATCTTTATTGGCGGCGACATTCCGTATCAGCTCTATGATCAGAAATTCCGGTTCAACAACACCCTCAAGAACGAGCAAGGGTTGTACTACTTGGCGGACCCTGACTTCGTCGATACGATTGACCTGGGGCCCGAAGGGAGGGCGTACACGGGGGTCGGTTTCTCGCGGGTCCAGTCGGGCAATCTGTGCAGCAACCCCGAGGCAAAGGCGGTTGCAGCGGCCCTCTTTGGCGCCTTCACCGTCGCTTTGCTGCTGGCGACTTTCTCCATCGTCGTCATAGCGCGATGGCGCCGCAGAATTCGGGGGAGTTCAGTACAAGAACGCCGCTCTCACAGGTGAGTCATTGCTCGGTTGACTCAAAATAGATATCATATACTTTGCACGAAGATCTTAACCTTTTCAATGGCGTATATATTGCAACTTTTCACATTTACAGTGGTGTACTAAAGTTTCGTAAGGCTTTCCGAGCGGGCCATGAAGGCCGGTTTTGAGCCGCTTTCGAGTTCGTTTGGGGTGTGTGGAAGCCGGTTCTGGGATTTTGCACTCTTTTTTATCAAGGGGTTGGGGCTATGGAAGCCGGTTTGAGGTAACGTAGAGCCGGCCTAGGCACCAATGATTCTGCAAGAAGTGTGAAATTCCTGATTAAGCTTGCCCCTTTTCCTCCCCTCTTTCCTCAGTACTGTACAACGCATTGGGCAGATCCAGAGATGTTTAGGTCAGGGGTAAAAGGCGGCTCGATTCGCCTAACTCTGCAACTTAGCCTGATGTTCAGGCGACGGGAAGGCCGAATTTCCTTCCAGAGATCAGTGCACCACTGCAATATGTTCTGGCACGATGCTTTGATTATCTTTTAACGTGCTCATTGTGACGATTACAGCTGACCGATCCCGGTCTAGTTCTCGTCAGGTTCTCGTTAACGATTAGGTTAACGAAACGACAGGGGTTACGTCTTAAACGACGCTCTGTGGGCTGTCTAACCAGTCGATTTAATGTCCCGGATGGATCGGCTCTTATAAAGCCTTTGCCACCGTTCGGGATGATT